CTGAAATCCTTGAAACTGTTGAAACATTGAAACTCCTGAAATCCTTGAAACTTTTTTTAAACCTGGAAACTGTTGAAAGTGTGGAAACTCCTGAAATCCTTGAACCTCCTGATATCCTTGAAACTGGTTAAATTCTTAAACAGTTGAAATCCTTGAAACTACTGAATGTATTGAAAGTGTCCTTGAAACTGAAAAATCCCCTCACCGCTGAAACAATTTGGTTCCTGTAACTAAGGAAACCTGGTCTGTGGTCATTATCTGGTGGTGGTCTGAGTCTTCGTTTGGGTCTTGGTCTGGTGGTATAATGCAACCTATTAGGTTGCATTATACTGGTTTACATGGAAAAATCCCTATTAGGTTGCATTATACTGGTTTACATGGAAAAATCCCTATTAGGTTGCATTATACTGGTTTACATGGAAAAATCCCTATTAAGTTGCATTATACTGGTTTACATGGAAAAATCTCTATTAAGTTGCATTATACTGGTTTACATGGAAAAATCCCTATTAGGTTGCATTATACTGGTTTACATGTACAAATCCCTATTAAGTTGCTTTATACTGGTTTACATGTAAAAACCCCTATTAGGTTACATTATAGTGGTTTACATGTAAAAATCCTTATTAAGTTGCATTATACTGGTTTACATGTAAAAACCCCTATTAAGTTCCATTATACGTTTACACATGTAAAAACCCCTATTAAGTTCCATTATACTGGTTTACATGTAAAAACCCTATTAAGTTGCATTATACTGGTTTACATGGAAAAATCCCTATTAAGTTGCATAATACTGGTTTACATGGAAAAATCCCCATTAAGTTGCATTATACTGGTTTACATGAAAAAAACCCTATTAAGTTGCATTATACTGGTTTACAAGGAAAAATCCCTATTAAGTTGCATTATACTGGTTTACATGGAAAAATCCCTATTAAGTTGCATAATACTGGTTTACATGGAAAAATCCCCATTAAGTTGCATTATACTGGTTTACATGTAAAAAACCCTATTAAGTTGCATTATACTGGTTTACATGGAAAAATCCCTATTAAGTTGCATTGTACTGGTTTACATGGAAAAAACCCTATTAAGTTGCATTATACTGGTTTACATGGAAAAAACCCTATTAAGTTGCATTATACTGGTTTACATGGAAAAAACCCTATTAAGTTGCATTATACTGGTTTACATGTAAAAACCCCTATTAAGTTGCATTATACTGGTTTACATGGAAAAATCCCCATTAAGTTGCATTATACTGGTTTACATGAAAAAAAACCCTATTAAGTTGCATTATACTGGTTTACATGAAAAAACCCTATTAAGTTGCATTATACTGGTTTACATGGAAAAATCCCTATTAAGTTGCATAATACTGGTTTACATGGAAAAATCCCCATTAAGTTGCATTATACTGGTTTACATGTAAAAAACCCTATTAAGTTGCATTATACTGGTTTACATGGAAAAATCCCTATTAAGTTGCATTGTACTGGTTTACATGGAAAAAACCCTATTAAGTTGCATTATACTGGTTTACATGGAAAAAACCCTATTAAGTTGCATTATACTGGTTTACATGGAAAAAACCCTATTAAGTTGCATTATACTGGTTTACATGTAAAAACCCCTATTCTGTTTTCAACAGTTAATAGATTAACAAACCCCCCTGTTCAAATGCCATTAGAGCTTACTTCCAAACGTAAATGCAATGAGTTTGCAAATTTTTTCAATGACAAGGTTCAAGGCATCAAAAACGCCATTGTCTCCAATCCACAGATAACCATCCAACAGCCAGAAAGGCTCTCTGAGCTAACTCACTTTGCACCTGTAAATGATAAAACTGTCCAAGAGATAATCTCCAGTTTGAGCTCCTCCACATGCAGCTTGGATGTACTACCCACTAGATTTCTGAAGTCTGTTCTGAGCAGTCTGTTACCTTCACTCACACAGATAGTATAAACATGTCCCTTCATTCTGGAATATTCCCAAAGGCCCTGAAAACTGCAGTCATCAGGCCCCTGCTAAAAAAGAGCAGTCTCGATGCTACGGTACTTAACAACTATCGTCCCATCTCAAATCTGCCATTTATGGGGAAAGTCCTTGAAAAAGTTGTCTACCTACAGCTTACTAGATTTCTTATAATCAACAACTCATTTGATATGTTTCAGTCCGGCTTTAGACCCCACCACAGCACTGAGACTGCTCTCGTCAAGGTTACAAACGATATCCGGCTGAACACTGACGCAGGCAAAGTCTCAATCTTAATCTTGTTAGATCTAAGTGCTGCCTTTGACACCGTCGACCATGAGAGAAAAAAACCCAGGATTGTACAGACCCATAGCGCTTACGTCGGTATTGTGTAAAATTATGGAAAGAATGGTGACAGACAGACTAGTATACAAATTAGAAAAAGAGGGGTGGTTTGTCCCGTATCAGAATGGCTTGGAGAATTGGCAGAATGGAGTCAGTATTGTCACTGGACTGTGATATTAAGAGAGCAATCGCCTGTAAAGAGGTTCTAGTGGCTGTATTTTTGGATATTGAGAAGGCCTATGATATGTTGTGGAGAGAAGGACTTATAGTGAAACTGTATGATGCAGGTGTTAGAGGTCGTGCTTTAAATTGTATTAAAGCGTTTCTATTAGGTCGTACAATTCAAGTAAGAGTAGGAAGTGCATTGTCCCAATCGGTAAACATTGACAATGGTACTCCCCAGGGGAGTGTAATTAGTCCAGTTTTGTTTAATGTAATGATAAATGATATTTTTTTAAAGTGTGGGGCCGGGTTATGGGGTGTCTCTTTTTGCGGACGATGGGGCGGTCTGGAGGAGGGGGAGAAATATTGGCTATGTTTTTAATAAAATGCAGAGAGCGCTAGATGGGATAATGGAATGGGCAAATCAGTGGGGGTTTAAAATCTCAGTGGAGAAGTCAAAATGTATAGTCTTCGGAAACAAAAAGGTTGGTAGTGTAGGTCTGCAGTTGTATGGTGTGGCACTGGAAAGGGTCCGGGTTTTTAAATTCTTGGGGGTTTACTTTGATGAAAGGATGACATGGAAAGGGCACATTGAGAAAGTTGTAAGTAAATGTAATAAAGTTATTAATGTAATGCGTTGCCTGACTGGTAGTAACTGGGGAGCAGACAAATCCACCCTGTTGATGATTTACAGAGCAATGGTGCGGTCGTCTCTGGACTATGGAAGCCTGGTTTATGGGAATGCAGCTAAAACAAATCTGGCTAAGTTGGATGTGGGTCAAGCCAAGGCCCTAAGAGTGTGCTGTGGTGCCTTTCGAACAACATCAGTACCAGCTCTCCTGGTTGAGGTAGGGGAGATGTCCCTTGAGAAGAGGCTGGCCCTCCAGTTTGTGGCAAAATCACAAGGCCAACGTGAAGAGCATCCTGCTAGGAGGGTGATGGAGGATACATGGGAGACAGGAGGAAGGGGGGGGAGAACGTTTATTTATGAGGTAAAGGATGAGATTCCAGAGCTCAGGCAGAGGAACACGGCTCCGGTGGTTGTCTGGCCCTCAGTCCCGCCCTGGCTGCTTCCTCAGGTGGAGGTGGACTGGTCCGTTAAAGAGGGCCTTAAAGAAAGGGGAAGAGTTGGGGAAGAGTTGCCCAAGAGGTTGTGAGGGAGGTATTGGTGACCAACTGGAACAGTGCCCTGCAAGTGTATACGGATGGGTCGGTCGACCCTCAGAGAAGGAGAGCAGGGTTTGGGGTACACAGCCCAACGTTGGCCCTGAGTCAGGGCAGACGACTCCCAGATGGAATTGGAGTTTTTACAGCTGAATTGATGGCAATAGTGTGGGCCCTTAAATGGATTGAGCGATTGAGACTAGAGAGTGTGGTTGTCTGCTCAGACTCAGCGGCTGTGTTGCTGTCCCTTGAGGCAGGGTCGTCTAAAACAAGACCAGATCTTTTATATGAGGCTCTAAGCGTTCTGTGTAGGATAGAAAGGGGAGGGAATGATGTGGGTTTTTTGTGGGTTCCAGCGCATGTGGGGGTAGATGCAAATGAGGTGGTGGATAGGATTGCTAAAAATTCCTTGCAGAGCGAAAGAGTAGAGGTGGTGGTGGCCTTTGGTGTGTGTGAGCATCGGCATCTAATTAAAATGAGAGTGTGTGAGCAGTGGCTGAGAGCATGGGACAGGGAGACAAGAGGAAGGCACTTTTACAGCATCCAGCAGAGTATTAGTGGGGGGATAAAGCAACCCGGGGGAATAACAGGAAGGAGCAGGTTATGATAACCAGAATGAGACTGGGTCATTGTGGACTTGCTCAAAGCCTGTATCGGATCGGAAAGCACAGAGATGGCCTGTGTGAAGAGTGCAGTGAGCAAGAGACAGTGAAACATGTTCTCTTACAATGTAGGAAATATGTGGACCAAAGAAGACTGCTGTTTTCTTGTGCTCTTCACCTGGGACTTGAGCGTGTGAATCAGAGGTCATCTGAGGCCATCACCAGTGAAAGGCAGCAATGCGCCGACTGGCGCACAGTCTGCCGGAAATCCACAAGAAGAAGAAGGCTGATTGCCTCCATAACACCTCAGCAGTGCCACAGGCCACGCCATGCCATGCAACGCCGTATTCAAGCATTCATTTCTACTAAAGGATTCCTGATCAAGTATTGAGTGCATAACTGAACATCATTATTTGAAGGTTGACATATTTTGTGTTAAAAACACTTTTCTTTTATTGGTCGGATGACATATGCTATTTTTTTAAGATAGTGATTTTTGGTTTTTCTTTACTTATTCGCCTAAAACAATAAAAAGCTTGAACTACTTAAGTTGTGTGTAATGAATCTAAAATATATGAAAGTCTATTTATCAGTACATTACAGAAAATAATGAACTTTGTCTCAATATGCTAATTTTTTTAGAAGGACCTGTATTTTCTATTGAACAACAAAGAAACTGCAGTGAAACAAAATGATGAATGATTTAGTTTTGTTTTTCTCAGACATTGCAGTACCCACTTCCACCACGAGATGGTGGCATTTCTAAATCTTGAGCATGGCTTCTCTCAACACAGACATTCACTTAAAGATCAAGTTTAAAAGATTCATATTGCTCCTTTATAATAAAATGTCAGACTCAGTTACTGTAGATTATTGAATCAGCAAATTATGAATAATTAGTGGAGAACATTCATAAATCCAGACCACAACAGTCTGTCTTCATCTTTTTAGAAAACATTCATCTTTTACACCCTGAGAGCTGATTGGCTGAGAGAGAGGGGGTCCTCTCTTTTGCACTTTTCTGTCTGAAAAAAACTGAGGAGGTGCAGGTGGTGGATGAGGGGGGGGGGGGGGGGGGGGTAGTGGAGGAGCTGGTGGAGGAGGTGGGTTTGGTGCTAAGAAAAAGAGGCAGGAGGTCAGAGTGTTGCCGTGGTGACAGACCTTTGTGCCGTCACTGAAGCGTCTCTTTGAGGAAATGGTTTCCTCAAAGAGTCCAACACGACACATGTGAAAGAACACGGCTCCAACACGACACATGTGGAAGAACACGGCTCCAGACTCCATAGGCTGAAGACAGTTATGTATGTGGACTATCATTATATCTGTAATATATATGTATGTATATTATACAGTGTATATATATATATATATATATATATATATATATATATATATATATATATATATAATGTATATATATATGTATGTATGTATGTATGTATGTATGTATGTATGTATGTATTATATATATATGTATGTATGTATATACATAAATATATTTATATGAGAGGGGGGTCCAAACTGTGGCCCAGGAGCCAACCGTGGCCACAGACTAACGCCTCATGGACACTTGGAGCATAGTTAGTGTTGTGTTTTCTTTATACTTAACCTGATAATAGTTTGTTTGCTCTTTCTAAAGCCTAGTGTACATCGACAGAGTAACTGGAGACAACTAGTTGCAAGGCGGCTTTTGGCAACTGAGAGTAGATGATGGGAGATGATCAGTTGCCGAAATCGGTCGATGTGAGCGCTCTTACAACTGGAGATAAACAGTCGATCTCCGGTTTCAGTCAGTTGCCCGTGTTCTACTTTTCGGCAACTAGTTGTCCTCAGATCCGGAGATATCACCCGATGTGTGCGCTCCAACAACATGTGTGTATTGCGCGCCCTCTACAGTTTATGCCAGAAAACACACTGCAGTTGACGGCCAGTTGCTGTCAATGTACGCGCTGTTATTCCCAAGACTGGCCTGCTACTAGGAGTTGCCCGTTTTCGCCAGATTGTCGATGTTTGCGGGGCAGCAAATTATGCGCGACGGATATAATCAGTTGCCAGTCCGATGTACGCTAGGCATTAATTTTACCAAAGAACATGAACCATAAAGGTTCTTGTTTAATGGTATGAACCAAAAGGTTCTTGTTTAATGGTATGAACCATAAAGTTCTTGTTTAATGGTATGAACCATAAAGTTCTTGTTTAATGGTATGAACCAAAAGGTTCTTGTTTAATGGTCTGAGCCAAAAGGTTCTTGTTTAATGGTATGAACCAAAAGGTTCTTATTTAATGGTATGAGCCAAAAGGTTCTTGTTTAATGGTCCGTCCGTCCGTCCGTCCGTTTTCCGCTTCATCTGTTGCCGGGTCACGGGGGCAGCAAAAACAACTCAACCGCCATCTTTAAAACGAGCTGCTCTGCTCGGCTCTGCTTCGGCTACATTACGTCCTCCTCACTCCAGAGAAATGGAATTGCACAGAAAGCCCCAAAAGTCCTGGTCCTGGTCGGTGGAAGAGGTCCACACGTTCCTCTCTTCAGGCCAAAAGAAAAAATTCAAAGGCAGCTCGAGGCTCAACACAGTTTTCAGGGAGATCACCCAGCTCTGGATTTGTGACTAGTCTGTGGTAATCCTGAAATAACTGGTTGGCTACGAATCCCGTTAAAGCTCTCATTGAAATGTATTTACTGTGTAAATGTTTGATTGTCTGTTGTGCACAGTGAGCTAGCTACAATTAGCTTCATTTAGCTATCGATAGCAGCTAAGCTAACGTCCTCCCTGTGCTACTGTGCTTTATCTCGTATTATCTGCAGTATTCACGTGTTGTCATTCTGTTTTGTGCTTGTATTTAAGTTGTTGTGTGTATATTTGTATGATAATCCCTTCCCATAAGTGTGGAGATTACCAACGAGTAATGAGTGACCGGAGTATTCTCCTCATCTGGACCTGGTCTGGACCTGGTCTCAGACATACGTACTTTTGACTTTGTAAACTGTTGGTTTTGCACTTTACTTTTGTTTTCAATAAATCTGTAATTCTATCCCAAGGCTGTGTTTCATTAATTTATTATTATCGTAGCTGAGGTTTGGGTATCGATTGTTTGTCTGGTCTCGGAGTCTGCTGTAGTCCAGACCCGAGTCCGGACTAGCCCAGTCTAGCTTAGCCTAGCCTAGCCGCTAACTTGCTACCCCTATGGCTGCCGCTGTCTCTCCCTCAGTCCTTTACTGCTCGAGTTGCCATATGACGAGTTTAAACCCCGGATCCTCCTCTGGGGGTAGTGATAGATGTGTTAGAGCGGCAGTAGCTCAGTTGGTAGAGCTTTGGCCTTTGAGCCAGAAGGTCGTGGGTTCAAGCCCCGCTCAAGACTTTCACCATCGACTCCCACTGTCTGCTGTCGTTGTGTCCTTGGCAAGACACTTAACCTCTGGGAACATCAGCCACAGTGGGGCGGCTGCGGCTGTAAAGTGCCAAACTGCCGTTGTGTCCTTAGGCAAGACACTTCACCCCCATTGCCTAGAATGAGTCTGGTGTGTGTATGAATGGTTGGTGGTGGTCGGAGGGGCCGATGGCGCATACTGGTTGCCTCGCTTCTGTCAGTGTGCCCCAGGGCAGCTGTGGCTACAGCAGTAGTTTATCACCACCGTGTTTGGAGTGAATGAATAATGACACATGTGAAGCGTCTTTGAGTGTCCAGAAAAGCGCTATATAAAACCGATGCATTATTATTATTATTATTATTATTATTAAGTGTAGTACAATTGTAGCTTTAGAATCCAGGGTTAGTGAGTGAGCAGAGTCTCGAGCTAGCGCTAGCATTAGCTATAGCCTAGCCGTATCCTCGGACATGCAGCCCTCCTCCTCTGCTACACAGGCTGCTGTTGCTAAAGGTCCCATGCAGATTGTACAGAGCAGTCAGCACCATTGACTTCACAGTGTCCGAGTCATTCTTTTAAGACATAAGCATTTTCAAAAACTACTCGTGCTGTGCTGAATTTTCTATTAAACACTTACTCTGATATTATAATAAATCCATGCATGTACTAGTTACGCATCACACGTAAATGACGTGGTCTGACAACGCTGAGGACATACTGGGGGTACTATTTTTGATGGAAAAGCACGCGAACTGGGTCATGGCGCGCCGTGTAGAGTCAAAACGTACCGCACTAGGACTGTGGAAAAACGGCATAAGCAGAGACGCCCAGACTTCCCTATCCACACACACTTCCTCCAGCTCGTCCGGGGGGAACCCCAAGGCGTTCCCAGGCCAGCTGAGAGACATAGTCCCTCCAGCGTGTCCTGGGTCTTCCCTGGGGCCTCCTCCCGGTGGGACGTGCCCGGAACACCTCTCCAGGGAGGCGTCCAGGAGGCATCCGGAACTGATGCCATTGTTTATTGGTATGAACCAAAAGGTTCTTGTTTAATGGTATGAACCATAAAGTTCTTGTTTAATGGTATGAACCATAAAGTTCTTGTTTAATGGTATGAACCATAAAGTTCTTGTTTAATGGTATGAACCATAAAGTTCTTGGTTAATGGTATGAACCATAAAGTTCTTGTTTAATGGTATGAACTATAAAGTTCTTGTTTAATGGTATGAAATCCAGGTCAAAACGTGTTCTTTAATTTTTAGATTATATTGTTAATGTTTCGTTCGCTATTTGTGAGTCACGTTTAAAATGCATTTGTCCTGTGCTATTTAAACAAAATTCCTCTGCCTTCTTTTGGAGAGCGTTCAATGCTCTCGCTTCTCAGAAAGAAGTCTCCCTGAGTGGAGTTTGGATGTTCTCCCCGTGTCTCTGGTTTCCCAACTAAAAACGTACATGTGTTCCTCCACTGACAAAAGATTCTGACATCTCACAGAAGTATTGTGTTATTATTATTGTGTTACACATTAAAGTCCAAGTATGTCAGAGTATGTCCAAGTATGTCCAAGTATGTGTCCGAGTATGTCCGAATATGTCCGAGTATGTCCAAGTATGTCTGTGTCCGAGTATGTCTGAGTATGTCCGAGTATGTCCAACAGTGATGGGAATAACGGCGTTACTAACGCCGCCACTTTTTTCTGTAACGAGTAATCTAACTAATTACTTTGACTGTAACTATAACGCCGTTATCATTTCCGACATCCCGTTACTGCGCGACGTTACTCAAGACGCACAATGAACTTCTCTTTTTACTTTGTGATAGGACTCGTGCGCGTGTTGTCATGAGAGAAGGGAGGATGAGAAAACCTCTCAGATATTATTGGCTGATGTAAAACATATTTCCTTTACAATCTACATATCTACAGTTGAGAGGATGCTCATAAATTGTGTTTTTGAAACAAATGGGTCTTAATCACACTCTACCATGGCTTGTATTACCGTGAGGCCAGCCTCAGAGGAGCGCATGTGAGCGCAGAAGTCGGCTGCATACAATTCCATCGATAAGCTCCTTTCTCTTCCTGGTTTATCTGCTAAGGGCTGCAACAGGTTTGGCTAACATACATATAACACATTTTAAGATAATTTAAAATGTACTTAGGGTAATTTTTCAATGACTATAGGAATGATAAGAAAGAGAGGTGAAGTGTAAGACGGTTGATTTTAGAAATTGGATGTACCCGTCTGCAGCAAAACAGAGGAGTTTATGGAGGACACACGCGTTTTGTTTTACTTTTTAAAACTCATTGGACTCATTTCCAATTGGAGGATTACATATCTACGCTCAAACTATTATCTGGACTTAAACAAGGAACTGGTCTGAACCAAAGTGGCCTATGCAGGTCATTTATAAGTTAAGACCCATAACTCATAGTTTTGCGTTTTGTATGAACAAACAATGCAGGCATGAAACATATTCTGCTGTAGCCAAACAAATTGTCCAGTTGATTTATATGATGTATATGTTCATCTGATTGGGCTGAAGTCAGTGCTTCACCGGTGTTTCCACATTCACAGTGGCGGGTGTTGGTGTTTAGTGCTTACAGCACAGAGAGACATGAAGAGTGAACAGGACTTCAGCAGCAAAACAGACTTTTCTAGATGGAAATATTGGCAATATTTCAAACTCACTGAGGTTAAAGGTAAAAATGCGCACGTCGAGTGCACATTATGTTCCAGAACAAAACGAAAAAGTAACGCAATAGTTACTTTTACTGGTAACTAGTTACTTTTACAGTGGAGTAACTCCGTTAGTAACTCAGTTACTTTTTGGGAGAAGTAACTAGTAACTATAACTAATTACTTTTTCAAAGTAACGTGCCCAACACTGATGTCCAAGTATGTCCAAGTATGCAAACTTAATTCCACTATAAGTTTCTGTGAGTGGGAAGAAGAAAAAGAATTAAAGCCACAAGCGGCATCTAACGGCCCTCACCGCACCGCGCAAAGGAGGTGGCGCTGACGCGCCATTTTCCTACCCCCCTGATGGGAGCGACACTATGCATTTTGAATGCCTATGATCAGTGATTGTGTGTGTCTTTGAAAAGGTAAACCTCATTCTCCTCATGTAATACTTGTATCAGTCTGTAGTGGGTGCTATTGCTGAAATGTCATCTTTTACACTTTCAGTTTACCCAAACCCGAGAGTTGAACAATCATTTCAAATTTTGTGCAAATCGGACTTTGTAGGTGCAAATGGTGGAATTTCGGTTGTAAAATAGCGCCCCCTACATTTTAAATTTTGTAGTGTTACACCAAAGAACACCAAAATAATACACTTTTAGCATTAAATAAACTTTTGGCAAAGTTTGGTGAGTTTTCGTGTTTGTTCAGGGGGTCAAATATAAGTCAAACAACAGAAAACCTAAATACCTTTATACCCATGTAAACCTTTACTCTGTCTGTAGGGGGCACTAATGGGCCAATGTCATTGTTCACACTGTCATGTGACCTAGGCCCAGGAGTTGAACAACCGGGTCAAGTTTAGTGCAAATCAGAGTTTGTGTATGTGCAAACAGGAGCACATATAATCTGTGAGTGTGTCCATACAGTCTCCATTGGATAACATGGGAACATGGGAACCTCTCTATGAAAATAACCACACTTTGGGAGTCTGTCACGCTCAGACCGTTTAACTTATTCAAATTCTATATTCAACTATTGATGGTCCATGTGTTAAGACCATGTGGAGCGATTTTTAGAAAAATTTGTGAAACGGCCGCGGCTGGTTTGATGTTTGAGCGAGGTGTACTTTTCAGAGATTTAACGATTTTCTCATAGACACAGACAGGGGAGTGTTGGTCATCGCCACGGAAACAGGGTAAAAAAAAATCATATGTTGTCATTGACTTTTTGAATCCAGATGACAAAACAGAATTATGTGCAAAATTTCAAACAGTTTGAAAAAACTAAATTTTATTAGGCCCATGTAAATCTTTGACATAGTCTGTAGGGGGCGCTATTGAGCCAATTTCAATATTTCACTTTCAAATGACCCTGGAGCTGAACAATGGATAAAAATTTGGTGCAAATCCGGTTTGGTTTGTGCAAACGGGAGCAAATTTACTTTTGTCAAAAATTGGGAAAAAAATGTCACATTTTGCCGCTCCGGTACTCGGACAACTTTTAACTGATCCAAATTCTATATTCAATAATAGATGGTACATGTGTTTAGACATGTGGAGCGATTTTGAGAGAAATCGGTGAAATGGCGGAGGAGGAGATAATTTCCAATGTGTGAAAAATATCAATTTTCATTTTTCCATTTTCCATTGAAATTAATGAGCTCCCTGTTTGTCAGGGGGCGGAGCCATAATAACTTTTTTTCCATGTCTTGACCTGAGGAACATGTGTACCGAATTTGGTGGCTCTACGACAAACTTGACCTCCGACCCGCTCCCATAGGCGCAATGTAAACTGACTTTTGTAGGGGGCGCTGTTCGGGCATTTTTTTAGTCCCATAAAAATAAACACCAAAAAAATTAATTTTTCGCCAGTTCTGAATTTTGGGCAAAATTTCACAACTTTTCATCAATGTTCAGGGGGTCAAATTAAGGTTCAAAGCGCAGAAGAAAAAAGAAAGAAACCAAACCAAGGATTTTTTTTTCCAAATCGTCGAGCAAAAACAATATAGGTTTCCATAGTAACCTATAATACAAATGATACGTCGTTTTAAAGCGAACGACGAGGCGAACGCAACTATTGGGTTCTCGGTGATTGACGAGCGCGTCAGTGTGGTCACCTCGCCATCATGAGGTCACCCACCCCCTCCATAGGACCCCATTCATTACACTGTGTACTACAGCAGGAGCAAAGCCATTCAGTGCCTCCGGCACTGTTTTGTCAGTGTCTGGGCACGCGCCGTTGGGCTTGGGGACTTTTGTTAACGTTAAACTCATCATTCTATCAATGTGCAGAAGCCAGTACTTTTCCCTTGTTTTGTCTATCTGAAGGCCAAGCTACTGGCACCGTGGAAGCTGCTGAATGGAGGTCTCCATGCCTCCGCTCTGTATAATACACTTGCATTCTGTTGTATCTGTACTCGTGTGTTTTGTTCGTGCTGTCTCTACCATCAACAATAAAACATGTCTTCTGTCTGAATTAAAGACGCGATCTCAGACTTGGCTCATCTTCTTCAGGTGGTGGAAGAATGCGGGCCTTGTCTGTAACATCTAGAGAACAGAAGACTACTTTTTTTTACACAAAAAGTGTTTGTTTTTTTCAAGCCAAAACTGAGAAACCTCAAGAGAATGCATCTGGACCAGCACACTTGAACTATCTGCACAGCCCCTGATTCCACTCAGGCTGTGAGCTGCTGAGAGATGGACAAGACCATCGTCCTCTTTTGCATGGAAATCATTTGGAACAATTGGATTTCTGAATTTGAACATAATTTGGACTGAATTGAATTGCTGAATCTGGACACTGAAGCTGAAACGTGTGATTGAAAGACACGTCACAGAAGAATTTATGGCTCGACACAAATGCAGCCTGAAGAAACCAACACAGAGAAGTGGGAGAGACTGTTTTCAAAGCAATATCTGGAACCACCATCGACTGATGAAGTTTGGTATTTTACTGAAGATTGTTGACAAGTTTTATGAAAGATCTGAACATGTTTTACGAGTTTTCTGAGTTTTTGAAGTATTCCGAGTTCTGAGTTTTTTGAAGTACCGATTGAAGTACCGAGTTTAAGTATTGAGTTATGATGTTATGTTGCTGTTTATCGATCCTGATGGTCACACGGGAATGTGTGACCAGAGGGGGGAATGTGAGATTTCATAACACTTTTAAGCAACTTTTGTTAAGGTTAAACTCATCATTCTATCAATGTGCAGAAGCCAGTACTTTTCCCTTGTTTTGTCTATCTGAAGGCCAAGCTACTGGCACCGTGGAAGCTGCTGATTGGAGGTCTCCATGCCTCCGCTCTGTATAATACACTTGCATTCTGTTGTATCTGTGCTCGTGTGTTTTGTTCGTGCGGTCTCTACCATCGACAATAAAACATGTCTTCTGTCTGAATTAAAGACGCGATCCCAGACTATGTCATCTTCTTCAGGACCCCCCTTTAATAGGACCTCAATCATTTCACTGTGTACTACAGCAGGAGCAAAGCCATTCCGTGCCTACGGCACGGATTTATCAGTGCTTGGGCACGTGCCGTCGCGTGACTGGTAATTACTCGTTGGAAAAGCAATAGGCCCTTACCCCGGTTGGGGCTCGGGCCTAATTACAGATGAAACATGTTTAGTAGCATAGACCTTACAGGTCAGAGCCATTCTTATACTTTTCACCTGTTCCCAGGGCAGTCCACGGGGCAGTGAGTGGGACCACAGCGATCCCCTGGAGGAGCAGCAGGAGCAGCAGCAGGAGGAGTAGCAGGAGGAGGCTGCTGCAGAGGCTGAAGGACTGGGAGGAGGCCTGGAGTCCACCACCTCCATGGGACAGAGAGGAGGCTCAGTCTGCACTCAGAGGGACACAACCAGGGGTGTGTGTGTGTGTGTGTGTGTGTGTGTGTGTGTGTGTGTGTGTGTGTGTGTGTGTGTGTGTGTGTGTGTGTGTGTGTGTGTGTGTGTGTGTGTGTGTGTGTGTGTGTGTGTGTTAATCTTGCAGAAAGGATGGTTTGACTCTCAGGGATTCAGGAAAGAAAGGCCGGAAGAATCTTAAAATGATTATTTTAAGAGCTCGGTTTGAGTATCTAGATTCATAAAGAACCTCCAGAACAGACGGATCATAGTCCTCTTTCTCTCTCTGGTCTCTCTCTGGTCTCTCTCCGGTCTCTCTATGGTCTCTCTGTCTGGTCTCTATGTCTGGTCTCTCTCTCTGGTCTCTCTCTCTTGTCTCTCTCTCTGGTCTCTCTCTGTTCCCTCTCTGGTCTCTCTCTGGTCTCTCTCTGGTTTGTCTCTGGTCTCTCTCTGGTGTCACTTTCAAAGCCCGGTCACATAAAAATACAACAGTTCCTTTTTCTAGTTGTTAATCTCAGAGTAAAAAAGCAGAAGTATTTAATCTGGAAACAAAAGAAGAAGAAGGAGTGGGACCGGACACACAGGTTTTCACAACGAGCTTTACACAGACTCACACTGGAGCCGCTCTCAGCTGTAAGAAACTCTTTATGGTCTTTAAACTCTCACTGGTCTTGCCACATGTGTGTATATATATATATATATATATATATATATATATTTATATTTCTAAAGTCGGAGATATTGTTTTACTCCAGTCCAGAGTTATTGTTCTTTACCTTGTTCTGTACTTTCCTCTTTCTACTGTTATGTACCTGTGCTCCTCTGTTCTGTACTTGTGCTCCTATGTTCTGTACCTGTGCATGTATATATAAATATATATATATATATATATATATATATATATATATATTATATATATATATATATATATATATATATATATATATATTATTATTTATTTATTGTCCACTCACCTTTGGCCCTCCGTGGGCGGTTATCCCTCTCTAAGCTCGGGTCCTCTACCAGAGGCCTGGGAGCTTGAGGGTTCTGCGCAGTATATTTGCTGTTCATGCTCTGCACATTTCTGGACCTAGATGTCCGAGGTTGTTCCAGGGATCTGCTGTAACCTCCTCCAGCTTCGGGGTCACTGCCCCGAGTGCACCGATCACCACGGGCACTACTGTCACCTTTACCCTCCAGGCCCTCTCCAGCTCCTCTCTGAGCCCTTGGTATTTCTCAAGCTTTTCGTGTTGTTTTTTCCCGATGTTTCCATCGCTTGGAATTGCCACGTCCACCACCACCGCTTTCTTCTGCCCTTTGTCTACCACCACGATGTCAGGTTGGTTCATTACCATTGGGTCAGTCTGTATCTAGAAGTCCCACAGGATCTTCTCATTCTCCACCACCTTTGGAGGAGTTTCCCACTTAGACCTTGGGGTTTCCAGCCCATACTCTGCACAGATGTTTCTGTACACTATGCCAGCCACTTGGTTATGGCGTTCCATGTAGGCCTTCCCTGCAGCATCTTGCACCCTGCAGTTATGTGTTGGATCGTCTCAGGTGCCTCTTTGCACAACCGACACCTTGGGTCTTGTCTGGTGTGGTATATCTGTACCATGGGTCTCCTCTGGTGTGGTATATCTGGGCCTCTCTGGTGCTCAGGGCCTGCTCCTGTGCAGCCATGATGAGTGCCTCTGTGCTGTAGGCCAGCCCTTTCTAGCCATTGGTAGGACTTCTTGAGATCAGCCACTTCTGTTATGCTTCGGTGGTACATGCCGTGATGGGCCTCCTCCAGCACCTCCTCATCTCGCCACTGCATTCAGTGGCGAGACATTCACTGAGTACGTCATCCGTTTTGGCCTTCTCCATGATGTAGTTATGGAGTTTGGATGTTGGTCCTGGACAGTGGCTCTCACACTCACTAGTCCGCGGTCTCCTTCTTTACGGCTTACGTACAGTCTCAGGGTGCTGGATTTGGGATGGATTCCGCCATGCATGATGAGGAGCTTTTAAGTTTTAACATCCATGGTCTGAATCTCTTCCTTTGGCCATCTGATTATTCCTTCAGGGTATCTGATCACGGCAGGGCGTAGCTGTTAATTACCCGGGCCTTGTTCTTGCCATTGAGCCGGCTTCTCAGGACCTGCCTTACTCGCTGGAGGTATTTGGCAGTTGCCGCTTTCCTCGTCGCCTGTTCGAGGTTGCCATTTGCGTGTGGTATACCGAGATACTTGTAACTGTCCTCAATGTCTGCTATTGTTCCCTCTGGGAGTGAGATCCCTTCTGTGTGGACTACCTTGCCTCTCCGAGTCACCATCCTGCTACATTTCTCGAGTCCGAACTACATACCGATGTCATGGCTGTAGATCCTGGTGGTTTGGATCAGAGAGTCGATGTCTTTCTCGCTCCTGGCGTACAGCTTGTGTAGAGGAGGTGACTGATCTTTGCTCCATTCCTGAGGCGGCATCCATAGCCAGTCTGGTCAATTATTTGGCTTAGAGGGTTGAGGCCTATGCAGAACAGTAGTGGGGACAGAGCATCTCCTTGGTAGATACCACATTTGATGGTCACTTGTGCGAGCGGCTTGCCATTTGCCTCAAGGGTGGTCTTCCACATCCCCATCGAGTTTACAACGAAGTCCATTAGAGCCCTGTTGATATTGTACAACTTCAAGCATTCCATGATCCAAGTGTGTGGCATTGAGTCGTAGGCTTTCTGGTAATCAATCCAGGCTGTGCACAGGTTGGTGTGTCGTGACCGGCAGTCTTGGGCGACTGTTCTGTCAACCAGGAGCTGGTGTTTGGCTCCTCTGGTGTCTCTACCAATGCCCTTCTGTGCTGTGCTCATGAATTGTTCCATGTCTCCACTGATCTTAGCCGCAATGGTGCCTGACATGAGCTTCCATGTTGTGGAGAGACAGGTTATTGGCCAGTAGTTGGAGGGGACCGCACCCTTCACAGGGTCCTTCATGATCAGGACCGTTCGCCCTTCGGTTAGCCTCAGGGTGAGTCCCATCTCTCAGCAGGTGGTTCATTTGTGCTGCTAGGCGCTCATGGAGTGATGTGAGTGTCCTTAGCCAGTAGCATGGACCATTTCATGGAGTGATGTGAGGGTCCTTAGCCTGTAGCATGGACCATATCATGGAGTGATGTGAGTGTCCTTAGCCAGTAGCATGGACCATATCATGGAGTGATGTGAGTGTCCTTAGCCAGTAGCATGGAGCATATCATGGAGTGATGTGAGTGTCCTTAGCCAGTAGGTATGGACCATATCAGGGCCAGGTGCTGTCCAGTTTTTCATACCTGAAACTCTTTCTCGGATGTCTGCCTCTGAGATGGTAACTGAGTTCTGTTCTGGGAGGTGGCTGTGCTCCTCTCTCAGGGACACCAGCCATTGTGCACTGCTGTTATGTGCTGCTTCCTTCTCCCATATGTTCTTTCAGAATTGTTCAGTTTCCAGCCTTGGTGGGTCTGCTCCCCTGTTGTTACCCTGCCACTGAGCGTACACCTTCGCAGGTTGTGTTGCGAACAGTCTGTACTCTTCTGGCTTCATTCTCTTTAGTGTACCTTTGTAGGCGGCTGGCCAGGGCTTGGAGCCTTTGTTTGGCTGTTTCGAGTGCTTCAGGTATGGTCATCTGGCTGTACTTTTTGGGTACTGGTCTTTTGCACCTCTCTGGGCCTCTGTTAATTAACTCACTTCTCTCCGAGCAGCCTGATCTTAGCCTCCAACCGTCTTTTCCATGGTGGGTATTGTCCATGGCTCCCATGGTTGCTCTTATAGCCAAGCATCTCTAGGATCACTGCTGCTGAAGTGTATATCAGCTCATTGGTTTCAGTGATTGTGGTGGTAGGTATCGCCCTCACTGCTGCATTCACACAACCGCTGTAACCGGTGTCTATGCCATGTGCCCATTCTTGCCATGATCTTAGCTTTCAGGTCAGTTGCTGTCTCGTTCAGTGGTATCAGTTCCATCGGGGCTATGTACCCAATATCTGGTTGGGGAGTTGGAGTTGATGGGACCTCCCCTTTGAACTCGGCAACTGTGGTATCTTTGGCATAATACATGTGTTGCACCTCATCGATCTCAAGCTGTGAAAGCAGTTGCCGTTTGTGGATGTTGGAGGATTGAGCTACTAGTTGTTTCGGGGTCAACTGTGACTGTGTATATATTTATATACAGTGGGGCAAAAAAGTATTTAGTTAGCCACCGATTGTGCAAGTTCTCCCACTTAAAATAATGACAGAGGTCTGTAATTTTCATCATAGGTACACTTCAACTGTGAGAGACAGAATGTGAAAAAAAATCCAGGAATTCACATTGTAGGATTTTTAAAGAATTTATTTGTAAATTATGGTGGAAAGGATGTATTTGGTCACTTCAAACAAGGAAGATCTCTGGCTCTTACAGACCTGTAACTTCTTCTTTAAGAAGCTCTTCTGTCCTCCACTCGTTACCTGTATTAATGGCACCTGTTTGAACTCGTTATCTGTATAAAAGACACCTGTCCACAGCCTCAAACAGTCAGACTCCAAACTCCACTATGACCAAGACCAAAGAGCTGTCGAAGGACACAGGAAAAGAATTCCAGACTGGGAAGAGTGAATCTACAATAGGCTGCTTGCCTATTGTAGATTCACTCTTCCCACGCTTGGTGTGAACAAATCAACTGTGGGAGCAATCATCAGAAAATGGAAGACATACAAGACCACTGATAATCTCCCTCGATCTTGGCCTCCACGCAAGATCTCATCCCTTGGGGTCAAAATGATCATGAGAACGGCGATCAAAAATCCCAGAACCACACGGGGGGACCTGGTGAATGACCTGCAGAGAGCTGGGACCAAAGTAACAAAGGTTACCATCAGTAACACACTACGACGACAGGGAATCAAATCCTGCAGTGCCAGACGTGTCCCCCTGCTGAAGCCAGTGCATGTCCAGGCCTGTCTGAAGTTTGCCAGAGAGTTTGATATAAACTCGACTCGTTGTGTTTGGAAGAAGAAGAATACTGAGTTGCATCCCAAGAACACCATACCTACTGTGAAGAATGGGGGTGGAAACATCATGCGTTGGCGCTGTTTTTCTGCTTAGGGGACAGGACGTTAAGGAAAGAATAAATGGGGCCATGTATCGTGAGATTTTGAGCCAAAACCTCCTTCCATCAGTGAGAGCTTTGAAGATGAAACGTGGCTAGGTCTTCCAGCATGACAATGATCCCAAACACACCGCCCGGGCAATGAAGGAGTGGCTCCGTAAGAAGCATTTGAAAGTCCTGGAGTGGCCTAGCCAGTCTCCAGACCTCAACCCCATTGAAAATCTGTGGAGGGAGTTGAAAGCCTGTGTTGCTCGGCGACAGCCCCAAAACATGGAGGAATGGGCCAAAATACCAGCTACTGTGTGTGCAAACCTGGTAAAGTCCTATAGTAATTTGTTATTGCCAACAAAGGTTATATTACAAAGTATTGAGTTGAATTTTTGTTATTGACCAAATACTTATTTTCCACCATAATTTACAAATAAATTCTTAAAAAATCCTACAATGTTAATTCCTGGATTTTTTTTTTCACATTCTGTCTCTCACAGTTGAAGTGTACCTATGATGAAAATTAAAAACCTCTGTCATTTTTTTAAGTGGGAGAACTTGCAAAATCGGTGGCTGACTAAATACTTTTTTGCCCCACTGTATGTATATAATATATATATATATATATATATATATATATATATATATATACAGAGACGGTAGATACATCTGTGTGAAGTGTGAACGTCGTGAGAAGAAACTGTTGTTGCGGTTCTTTGTGAAAACCACTTCCTCTGATTCTCTCTGAGCCTCACTTCATTTAAAGGTTTCACTTTGTCTTTGTTCAGTATCGAAGAGTTGAGACTTCAAAGATACAGATGTGTTAAAAGTATCAAAGATACAGATGTTGATCATTGTTACTGAACCTCAGCTGTGAGAAAAACATCTGTGACAATCATCCCAGAAAGTCTCATTTTTAAAGATTGAGCGTTTTGTCAATCTGAATACTTTGCTACAGACCCTTTTTAACAGATCAAACATGTTCTATCAGTCACAAGGTTTTCCCACGCTCTTGCTGGAATTTTGGCCCATTCCTCTGTGCCTCTGATGCTGTCTCTCCAAAGGTCTCTATCGGAGCAGATCTGGATAATGGCTACTTTTCAATGTTACAAATCTATCATTAGACCTGTTTCCAAAAGTGCGTAACAGCCGCAGGTAATCAGAAGGAAATATCTACAGACTCTTTAAAAGTCTGTCCTGGAAAAACAACATGTCAGAGCACTCTGGGTTATCTCTGTTTACAAGGAGCATTAGTGTCACGTGGGGAAATGAAGAAAAACGGGAACCCAAAATGCAGGACTGAAAATAAAATGTAATTTAATAAAATTCAAATCCAGACTGACAAAAAGAACAAAAATCCAGAACTGAAAAACTAGACATACAGGACAAACAACAGCATGTGGGCAAAAGCACAGGGTATAAATACACACAGCAGACACAGGTGGATCACATTAGGGCGGGGCGAACAATAAACAGGACAGACAGGAATCAAACTGAAAATACAAGGGAACAGTAAAAGAAAGTAAAATAAAACCAGGTTAAAATAATCCAAAAAGTCCACACCATGACAATTAGGTTGTCTTTCTTTAAGTGAATCTACATTTGGTTGCTTCTGTTTTCAGGATGTTTGGTTTTAGACCATTTTTCTGAAATGACTTATATTTTCAATGCAGAGTTTCCTGGTTCTGAGAGATCATGTGACCTGTAGGCCCCGCCTCCTCTGTGTGGCCACAGATGGTCACGTTACCGAGCGGGAAATCCTCTTCTCTGACAGAGGTAGAGACCCAGGACTGAGGCTGTAGACCCAGGACTGAGACTGTAGACCCAGGACTGAGACTGACCCAGGACTGAGGCTGACCTAGCAGCATGAATGACATCATCTCTAATTTTGTGAATCAGAAAACGGCAGTTATTTTTCCCAGAGACACATACATCAAACACACATTAATTGTGTCTATTTAATGTTTTAAATGATTAAAACCAGACTCAGTGAGAAATTGTTTGATCTGCCACAGGATGAAAACCTTTGTGCAGGAGACTCTGATCAGATGCATTGTTTTCCTAAAAACAGACTAAAAACAGTGTCCCTGATACAGATGAAACACCTGTGTTAAAACAGACTAAAAACAGAGGCACTGATACAGATGAAACACCTGTGTTAAAACAGACTAAAAACAGTGTCACTGATAAAGATGAAACACCTGTGTTAAAAAAGACTAAAAACAGTGTCACTGATACAGATGAAACACTTGTGTTAAAACAGACTAAAAACAGTATCACTGATAAAGATGAAACACCTGTATTAAAACAGACTAAAAACAGTGTCACTGATACAGATGAAACACCTGTGTTAAAACAGACTAAAAACAGTGTCACTGATAAAGATGAAACACCTGTGTTAAAACAGACTAAAAACAGTGTCACTGATAAAGATGAAACACCTGTGTTAAAACAGACTAAAAACAGTGTCACTGATAAAGATGAAACACCTGTGTTAAAACAGACTATAAACAGAGTCCCTGATACAGATGAAACACCTGTGTTAAAACAGACTAAAAACAGTCGTCACTGATAAAGATGAAACACCTGTGTTAAAACAGACTAAAAACATTCTTGTCTCTCCTGTAGTTTGTCAGTTGTCTGGATCTCGTCTGTCTTTCCCCGACGTGTTTCAGCTGCTGCTCTTCTGCTCTTTCTCCAGGTACGTTTATTATAAACACAGTTCTATTAAATATATATATATATATACAGTGGGGCAAAAATGTATTTAGTCAGCCACCGATTGTGCAAGTTACAATAATGATCTCATCCCGTGGGGTCAAAATGATCATGAGAACAGTGATCAAAAATCCCAGAAGGACACGGGGGGACCTGGTGAATGACCTGCAGAGAGCTGGGACCAAAGTAACAAAGGTCACCATCAGTAACACACTACGACGACAGGGAATCAAATCCTGCAGTGCCAGACGTGTCCCCCTGCTGAAGCCAGTGCATGTCCAGGCCCGTCTGAAGTTTTCCAGAGAGCACATGGATGATACAGCAGAGGATTGGGAGAATGTCATGTGGTCAGATGAAACCAAAGTAGAACTTTTTGGTATAAACTCGACTCGTCGTGTTTGGAGGAAGAAGAATACCGAGTTGCATCCCAAGAACACCATACCTACTGTGAAGCATGGGGGTGGAAACATCATGCTTTGGGGTACAGGGACAGGACGACTGATCCGTGTTAAGGAAAGAATGAATGGGGCCATTTTGAACCAAAACCTCCTTCCATTGATTTCTGTTATTGACCAAATACTTATTTTCCACCATAATTTACAAATAAATTCTTAAAAAATCCTAAAATGTGAATTCCTGGATTTTCTTTCACATTCTGTCTCTCACAGTTGAAGTGTACCTATGATACAAATTACAGACCACTGTCATTATTTTAAGTGGAAGAACTTGCACAATTGGTGGCTGAATACTTTTTTGCCCCACTGTATATACAGTGTATATATATATATATATATATATATATATATATACTGCGTCTGTGTGTGTGTGCGTGTCTGTGTGTGTCTATGTTTTTGTGCGTGTGTGTGTGCGCACAAAGCTGCATTGGAGCGAGGATACGCGGCTGCGCACAAGACGGTGGTAAATTCATGTCAAAGATTACAGAGAAAACTTTCCTTAGATCCGGGAAAGTGTCAGGGCCTCGCAAAGGGCCTCACACAGGGCCTGGCACAGGGCCTCGCACAGGGCCTCTCACAGGGCCTCACACAGGGCCTCTCACAAGACCTCTCACAGGGCCTCACACAGGGCCTCACACAGGGCCTCTCACAGGGCCTCGCACAGGGCCTCCCAGTCTCACACCTTTGATGCCGTTTATCAAGGGAGCAACCTGAACTTACAGAGGCCTGAATGTTTTACATGTAGATAAATACATTTTTACATTTAATCTATGTACTTTAATTTTGAGTGTGAGGATGTTTTTATAAAGTGGTGACTGGTCGAGTCAAATGAGTTTTTGAACAATGTTCTTGCAAAAAAGGTTTAATAAATATTTACAAATCTGAAAGGCACACAATCTGTTTAAATATTATTTCTTTGTTGTTAAAGGACTCAAACGATAGGACTCGGGACTTGACTCGGGACTTGACGACTTGACTTGGGACTTGACTCGGGACTTGACTTGGGACTTGAAGGCAAAGACTTAAGGCCCAGTCCTAATACCCACACTACCCCCTACACTCCTCTACGAAGTGCACGGGTTTGAGTGGCAGGTTACAGCAGAAAAGGCAGAATTGGGACAGTGCACACTGAGTGCAGGTTACGTCATCGACTTGTCAAGAGATGGTCATTTTCAGACCTAAACTTTATAAAAATTAAAGGTAATTCTGTCTGACCCTGTGGGAAACAAAATGTGTTGTTCCACACAAGTTAAAATAAATGTATATTGGTTATTCGTCATTTTAGATAGCTGCATCATTTTAAGTGAAATGTAGGTAACTAACTGTTATCTGGTCAGTTTTTATACATCCTAAGTTTATTGTACTAAGTGTAAAGTTTAAATTGAATGTTATATGAACGCTTGCTTTAAAAAGTTATTAAATTGTTAAAATACAATGTCCGTAATTCTCAGACATTTATGCTTCTTTTGCTTGTAGTAACAGCAAAACTTATTTACACACATACAGCATATATATTTCAAAACTTACACTTGAATGCATTTTCCCGACGTTTATGGCCAAAGAATTATGGGCAATATCCTTCGCCAGAGTCCGCATAGATGCAGGCTACGGCGAAGTGTGGATCAGTTGCGCAAAGGGGGCGGGGCCTGGAGAATTGGGACTGTACCCTACGCACTTGCACCCATCATCGGGAACGCACACATGAGGGGCGCCAGGTGGAAGTGCGAGAGATGGGACTGGGCCATATCTGATTGTGAGTGTGTTTCAGAGATGTTCTGCCGGAGGTTCTGCGTCTGCCTCCGTGGATCTTCTCTGAAAGCCCAGAGTCCTCTGAGCTCGGTCCCAGTACGTTCATAATCACATGACTGAGCTTGAGCTTTTATACTTTTTTATATCAAATGTTTTTCCTGTGTAGAAATGTGGCTCAGTGCGTCCTCTGAAAATCCTCCAGAAGAAAAGAGTGAAGCTCTGGGCTCAGTGCTGTGCTGTTTACAGGTTCATGTCACACTTATGTCTTTATCTCCACTGCTCCATTCACATAAACATTATATACTTACACACACACACAGTTTGACAGTGTATGTGTGTGTGTGTGTCTGTGTGTGTGTGTCTATCTGTCTGTCTGTCTGTGTGTGTGTGATATTTCAGATGACGTCGTCCAATGGGGCCCTCTGTGTGGTGAACCCTCTGTACCTCCATGAACACGGGGATGAGTGGCTGATGCAGAGGCCCCTGGCTCAGAGACCCCTGGCTCAGATGCCCCCGGCTCAGAGGTCCCTGGTTCAGAGGCCCCTGGCTCAGAGCTCCAGGACGTCCGACCTCAGGAGGGACCAGCGGCGCCTCAGCGGCACCAGGCCCTGGTCCGGGGCCGGACTCATCCCTAAACGAGCAGTGTCCCTGGACCAGGAGCCGGCCCCAGACCTGGGGGACAGTTCAGGTGAGACCGAGTTTATCTTTACTCTGTCTCACAGCAGCAGGAGGAGGAGTTTGTTTTGATGTTTCCCAAATTGGAATATTACCGGCTGCAAAAACAGCTGTGTGATGTCACAGTGTTCCAGTGACATCACATGTTTGTGATTTTAGCAAAAGATCAAAAAACAACTTTTTTTTAAATGTTGTGAAATGGTTTAATCTAAAGTAGCTCCTCACGCTGCTCCTCTCTCCTCGCACAGGTGTGGTCCGGGCCCGATCTGCAGACTCCTCAAAGACCCCGGTCTCCTCTGGTCCTGCCTCCTCCACGTCTGGTGTGGTCCTCCGCCGTCCCAGCAGAGACTCCCCCATTGCCACCTCCTCCCCCATCACCACCTCCTCCCCCTCTGCACCCTCTCCTCTGGCTCCGGTCTCCCACATGTCCCCGTCTCCTCACCGCGTCTCCTGGATCCAAGATGGCGTCTGGCTGCCACCCCCCAGCCCCCCCTCCCTCCTCCATTTGCCCTCGATGGAGCTGGACTCTCTCTCCGTCAGCAGTGTGGAGGAGGATCCAGACCCGCTCTCCGGCCTCGCCTCCTCCTCTCACCGTCTGGCCGATAAAGTCAGACACCGGTTCTCCGCCGTGGGCCAGGCGTTAGGAGGCCTGGTGTGTCCCAAGAGGAGGTTCCGCTACAGAGTCCAGGAGATGAGTGACCGGAGAGGAAGCGTGTTCGCAGACGGCGTCAGGACTTTTGTGGACGGGTTTCTGCAGAAAAGTCCAGAGAGAGACGGACTGACGGAGTTCCTGCAGGAGGTCAGGGCCTCGCTCACGGCGCTGAGAGAGACGCTGCTGGAGCACGTGGAGATACAGGGCCTTCTGGACGCCATGACGGACATGACGGACGCCGAAATTGGTAAGACCTGAGGATTTATTTGCAGGAAAACCACATTGGAATAAATGTGCAAAAGTCCAAATGAGTTTTCTTTGCTGCTGGGTTCCTGACTTTCAAACCTTAAAGAAATAGGGACAAGTATGTGATAAACCCATCCAAGTACAATGGGGCCGTTCAATGTCGCTTCTCTCCCTCCCCCTCCCCCCCTACTCCTCCTCCTCCTCCTCCTGCAGACATATTGGTGGAGCGGTCTATCCATAAAGTGGCGCTGAAGCCTGTGGCGTCTCATCTTTACGGCTGTATCCAAACGTCCCGCTCCAGTGATGGGATCCTGGACCGTCTGCAGAGGAACCAGCGCCCCCTGCAGGCCGGGGGGGTGGGGCAGCTGGGGGGGTCGGAGGGGGTGGGGGTCCCGGACCAGGTCACTCTTGAGCGGATCAGGGAGAGGTGGGACACGATGCACGAGGCCTATTCTCCAAACAAGAAGGTGGAGGTTCTGCTGAAGGTCTGCAAGAACATCTACCACTGCATGAGCGCCGGCACAGAGAGCACAGGTGAGGAGGGGGCGGGGAACAGGTGAGAGGGGGCGGGGCACAGAGAGCACAGGTGAGGGAGGCGAGGCACAGAGAGCACAGGTGAGGGGGGGCGGGGCACAGGTGAGGAGGGGGCGGGGAACAGAGAACACAGGTGAGGGAAGGGCGGGGCTGACCACAGGGGGCAGTGTACTAACCAGGCCCTGCCCTTCTTAGCTTCAAAGGTCTGATGTATGGCTGCTGTATACTTGGGTCCCTTGGCGCAGGGTTCTGTGTTTCTGTATTCTGAACACATTGTGCAGTAACAGGTGTTGTTCCGTCCCTGTCCTCACAGGGGCAGTGTTGGGAGCAGATGACTTCCTGCCGTGTCTGAGCTGGGTGCTGCTGCAGAGTGATGTGGTGGCGCTACAGGTGGATACAGAATACATGATGGAGCTACTGGACCCCACACAGCTGCAGGGAGAAGGTCTGTGCTTATTATACTCTATATATCATGTAGGTTATATGTTGTATATGACGTATATACATCCTCAGAGGGATACTACCATCTCTGTCATATATATATATATATATATATATATATATATATATATATATATATTCCATCTCTCATATACTGTATATACATCCTCAGGTGGATATGTGCTGAGGATATATACACGGGACATTGTTATATAATATAAAGCGGCACGGTGGCTGAGTGGATAGCACTCTCGCCTCTCAGCAAGAAGGTCCTGGGTTCGAATCCCGGTTGGACCAGGGCCTTTCTGAGTGGAGTTTGCATGTTCTCCCCGCGTCTGCGTAGGTTTCCTCCGGGTACTCCGGTTTCCCCTACCACTAAAAATATGTACAATAGGTCTGGCATGTGCCTCCTGTTCTGGCACCCCCACTCCCAAAAAAAAAAAAAATAACAATTGTAAACCGCTTTGAGACTCCGATGTGCAGTGAAAAGGCGGTATATAAATAAAGATCACGATCACAATATAATGTATGTTATATATAATGTATATACATCCTCAGGGGGATACTACCATCTCTTTAATATATTTATGTATGTATATATATATATATATTTATAAATATATATATATTCTATCTCTCATATATACATCCTCAGGTGGATACTACCTGACCTCGCTGTATGCCGCCCTCTTCTTCATTAGCAGCTTCAGGACTCGTCGCGCAGTTCGACAGCTCAGTGTCGAGGCCCAACAGTCTCTGAGCCAGTGGCACCGGAGACGGACCCTTCACTGTGACCATCCCCCACGCAGGAAACTCCCACACACCATCCACAGCAGGGGGGGAGAGGGGGGAGAGGAGGTACCACAACGGGGGAGGGGCAGGGGGGGAGAGGAGGTCCCACAGCCGGGGAGGGGCAGGGGGGGAGAGGGGAGTGAGGAGGGTGAGGGGGGTCCCAGAGACTCAGAGCTGAGGTTAAAGAAATGGAAAGATGTGTAAATCCTGGAGTTTGTGCTGAAGTGACAGAAACAGACGAAGAGGTTTGAACCTGAGTGTGTGGTAAATGTTAAAAAGGACCTGGTTCTGTTGCATCAGCATCATTTAAAGCTTGGGTACCTGACTTTTTACTCTCACAAATACTGCAAAAATGTGCAATAATTGATGGTTTGTCTCGTTTCACTTTTCTGTCTGAAAAACCTAATCTTCAGAAACGGCCGGCGGAAGAATAAAATAAAATAGAATGAAACTGTTGATTCTAATTATGATTAATTAAAATAATGTGTAACATTGTTTCATTTTAATATAACTGTAAATTTATTTTTCATACTTTGGGCTGTGGAGCATCTGAAGTCGTTTTGTGGATCAGGCTGTTTCTGTTTTTATCCAACACAAAATACACAATGAAATATAATCAGACATTTTTTAACAATAAAAGAGTTAAAGTCCTCTCGTCTTCAAACTTCCATGTTTTTTAACATTATCCAAGTTTTAAAATGTTTTCATCCGTTTTCTCTGTTCCTTTGACTTTAGGACAATAAAATAAAACAAAATATTACATTTATAACGACTGCAGCATGTGACTGGACTTTGTCCAAACATTTAACACAAACTAAACACAAAGACTTTCTATTTCTATAACATTTCATTCTTAAGTGGATATTTCAGCATTTGAAATATTTATATTTATTTTCCACAAACTAAATTAATATTTATAGAGTGTGTCATTGATGTCGTTCTTTGTTTGGAAACTTTAAGTCTGAAGAGTTCCCTGTGTCGCCGCCAGAGGGCAGTGCTGCGCCTTTAACAACTATGACCACGTGATCATCCGTAATGACAATAATAACAATAATCTGGAAAGTAATAATAGTAAATGTTATTATTCAGCTCCTGGACGATAAACAACACAAAAATACTTTTTTTGGACATTTGTGTTTTTATGGATCTATTTTAATAATAATGTTTTCAGACTTTACTGAGGAAATAATTTCATTTACATTACACTGTTTTTAGTCATCATTAACTATGGAATAATTCATTTCAATCGTCCTAAATGACCAGATTTAACACCACTGTATATTTATTTGTTTAAAGTAACGGACTTTAACTTTGACTTTTTTACATTTGATGAAAACACAAAAATCTCATTTTGTTTTTGAAAAACAGTTTTTTCTTAAGAAAAAAAAGTAAAAAGTGCAGCGTCGTCTGACTGTGTTTTCTGAGTTAAATATATTATTTCTAATTATAAATAATTTATAAATGTTTCAGGTCTTTCCACAGATGAAGAGGAGAGGGGAAGGGGAGGAGAGGGAGAGGAGGGGAGGAGAGGGGAGGAGGAGAGGGAGGAGGAGGAGGAGAGGAGGGGAGGAGAGGAGAGGAGGGGAGATGGAGCATTTCCAAAGGCCTCCACACGACGTTACACTGCTGGACCACGACCCACAGGTTGGAAAACCCTGTAAACTGTGTTTTCAGAGAAGGAATGAATGAATGTTTCTGAACAGATCAGAACCAACACTAGAGGAAATGAGCCATCTTTTACAGTGAAAGGTGAATGCAGAGATTTTACATGTTTCTCTCCGTGTCTGAGTAGGTTTCCTCCAGGTGCTCCGGACATCTGGAGACTGACTTCTTCCTGGTTGCTCTAAGCCTGTAGAGCAACAAAACTCTCAGACACTGATTGCTACAGGCTTTGATTTCAACATTTGTGAGTTTTTTAAATATTTTAAATGAATACATATATCTTTCTTTTTTATTTGCTTTTACAGTAAATGGTCTTTACTGTAACATACATAAATAATGTATGTTACAGCATTTGTCTCACAACTATACTACAACTATATATACTAGATTATAATATGTAAATAAGTAACAATCTTGACTTATTGTTACGCAAGAACCTGCTAGACCTACATTGAAATTCACACACCAAATTATACTGCAATATATACCGTCTACCGCTTGTGTCCCAAATTATACCGCAATCAATCAATCAATCAACGTTTATTTATAGAGCGCCTTTCCTACACAAGGCAACGCAAAGCGCCTCACAACCCATATAACATCATGCATAAATCATCAAACATTAGAATTTAAGTAAACATAAAAAGACAGATTAAGAGCACAAGATATATAAAATCACACAAGTAGTTAAAAACCGTAAAACATTAAAATCACACAAGGGATTACAATCATAAATAATCATAAATAATCATAGCGCATTAAAAAGATTAAAGATAAAAAACAAATATAAAATCATTCACTTGTATGCACAGCTAAAAAGAACTGTTTTCAGTTCAGTTTTAAAAACTGCTAGAGTAGACGCCTGTCTCACACTCTCGGGAAGACGGTTCCAGACTCTAGCTGCATGAATCTGAAACGCAGCCTCCCCATGTCTAGTTCCGACTCTTGGCACTAACAGAAGTCCAGTCCCTGTGCTCCTCAGAGCCCGAGTTGGTTCATATGGCACCAACATGTCGCGGATGTACCCTGGTGCGAGGCCATGGAGAGACTTGTACACAAGTAAAGCTACTTTAAAATCTATTCTCTGAGCCACAGGAAGCCAGTGCAGAGACCTGAGGACCGGACTAATGTGGTCGTACTTCCTGGTTCTAGTCAGGACTCGAGCTGCAGCATTTTGGATGTACTGCAGCTGTTTTACCGCTTGTTTAGAGAGACCTGTGAACAAGCCATTGCAGTAGTCCAATCGACTGGAGACAAATGCGTGGATAAGAATCTCCAAGTCTGCTTTAGACACAATGTTTTTAATTTTAGCAATGTTTCTTAGGTGGAAGTAAGCTGATGATGTCACAGATGATATGTGGCTATTGAAATTTAAGTCTGAGTCCATTATTACTCCTAGATTTCTGACCTGAGTTGAGGGTTTTAGGGAGAGAGACTGGAGGTGGCAGATAACGCTCTCTCTTTGTTTTTGAGGTCCGAAAACAATAATTTCAGTTTTTTCTGTGTTTAGCTGGAGAAAGTTATTTTGCATCCAATCACTGATTTGTTGGATACAGTGAAGGAGCGAGTCCACTGGTCCATGTTCTCCTGCTGTCAGGGACACATAGACCTGAGTATCGTCAGCATAATTGTGATAGGACACGTTATTACTGTGTATTAACCTACCCAGAGGCAGCATGTAAATATTAAACAGGAGAGGCCCCAGGATTGATCCCTGTGGCACTCCGCAGGTTAGGGCCAGATGGTCTGAGATACAGTTTCCGATCTCCACAAAATACTTTCTGTCCTGTAGGTAGGATATAAACCAGCTTAGGGCTGTTCCAGAAACACCAACCCAGTCCTCAAGTCTCTGAATGAGGATACCATGATCGACAGTGTCGAAAGCAGCACTTAAATCTAACAGGATAAGAACTGAGACTTTTCCTGCGTCAGTGTTAAGTCTGATGTCATTTGTTACCTTCACTAGAGCGGTCTCTGTGCTGTGGTGGGGTCTAAAACCAGACTGGAACATATCAAAAGAGTGATTGATTATTAAAAATTCTGTAAGTTGTTGATAGACAACTTTTTCTAGAATTTTACCCATGAAAGGCAGATTTGAAATGGGCCGATAATTTTTAAGTGCCAAGGCATCCAGACTCCTCTTTTTTAGGAGGGGTCTGATGACTGCCGTTTTCAGGGCCATTGGGAATGTTCCAGATTCAAGAGACATATTTACTATATGCGTGAGTGAAGGTAAAAGACTGCTCAGAACAGATTTAAGAAATCTAGGAGGTAATACATCCAGGCTACATGTAGAAGAACTCAGACTTGTAATTATCATTTGGACAGTTTCATTTTGTACTGGTGTAAAGTGTGTCAGCCCAAAAAGCTTCACTGGCTGTTGGATTGTAATTTCTACTGTGGAGGTGATGGCATTTTTGATGCCTTGGACTTTGTCATTAAAAAACTCTGCAAACTCATTACATTTGGTTTTGGAGGTAAGCTCTGATGGCATCTTAACAGGGGGATTTGTCAATTTATTTACTGTTGAGAACAGAACGCGTAGATTGTTACTGCAACCTTCAATTGTTTCGGAAAAATAAGTTTCCCTCGTTCTACGTAGCACACTGTTGAACTTGCACAATGCATCTTTGAAGATCTCATGGTCAACTTGGAGATTTGACTTTCGCCACTTCCGCTCGGCTCTCCGGCACTCTCTCTTCTGTGCCCTGACAGAGTCCGCTTTTGTCCATGGCGCCTTTTGCTTATTTGTAACAATTTTGACCTTTACAGGAGCAATCGTGTCCAGAACATCCAAAACACTAGAGGTGACAGAGTTAAGTAATTCATCCACAGTAGAACACAACGTGTTATCAAAGTTTATCATCCCCATGAAAAGTTCACCTGTATTTTTGTTTATGTGTCTTCTTCTTCTAACAATTGAGGATTCAGCTCGTGCTTTACTATTGAGACACATATCAAAAAATACACAGCAATATGAATTTTAGGCCATATCGCCCACCCCTAGCCCTTAGGTATGAGTGCTCTCACCAGCAAAGTGCCACTCACAACATTCTCACCCCTGGATCTAGGGGACAATATGCAAATGACGCAGCAGACGTCATGTACACACACAGAGGCTGACACACACGCTCACACACAGACAGACGCATGTACATACGCGCACAGAGACGTACCACACAGACAAGACACATGTACACGACGCGCACAGAAACGTACCACACAGACAGACACATGTAGATACACATACGCGCACAGAGACGTACCACAGAGACAGACACATGTACATACACATACGCGCACAGAGACGTACCACAGAGACAGACACATGTACATACACATACGCGCACAGAGACGTACCACAGAGACAGACACATGTACATACACATACGCGCACAGAGACAGACACATGTACATACACGTACGTGCACAGAGACGTACCACACAGACAGACACATGTACATACACATACGCGCACAGAGACGTACCACACAGACAGACACATGTACATACACATACGCGCACAGAGACGTACCACACAG